TTTACAGTGTCTTGCAGATAAGAGTTTACCTTGAGTCTCAGAGGAGACTTTGGACTTGGACTTTTCAGCAATACCAGATCTGTTAAGACTTTGGTGACTCTTAAAGATGAACTAAATGCATTTTGCATAATGACATGGACATGAGTCTTTGGGGGAGCAGGGACAGAATGTTATGGTTTATATTTAAAATGGTTCCAAAAGTATCATCTTTTTACAAGGTAACTGGATCATGGAGGTGCTATTCTCGTCAGTAGATTCATCCACTAATGAGTTCAGTAGCCTAACATGCTGTTAGGTGCTGGGTCACTGAGGAAGTGATCATTCATTGCAATACATTAACTTGACTTGAATAAGAACCACCTAGCAAATTAGTAAACTTCTGAGTGTGTTTGTGGATGACTGATGTGTAGGAGGGGCAAACAACCAAAATATGGATGGCACCAACAATTAGGCTTGTACCTTGAATGAAATATAAAGGGAAAGAAGAAAGTCTCACTTATTTGTTGCCTGTTTTGAGGTGTGTGGATGACCCTCAACTCTGCCCCCATAAACAACACTGAAAAGAACATCCTTTTAAATAAATGTACCTCTGGAGCAACTCATCTTGAAAATGTATCTGTTTTCACAATAACAGAGACCATATGTATGGTCTTTCACTATGTATTTACAGATTGCTTTCCAAAGCTACCAATTTTATGCTTCCATGGGCAGCCGATAAGCATTCCCATCTCCCCACATCCTCACCAGTCCTTAAACCTACCCACCTTTTAAATGTTTGCCATTTTCACTGGTATAAGGTGATGTCATGCTATTTTTTCTACAATTATTAATGAGTTTAAACCTCCTCAAACACATGTTACTCATGCTTCTTCTTTAATAGATTGTATCTTCATACTCTTGGCCCATTTTTCTGCTGATCTTTATGTATTTTTTTTAATTTGCAGAAGTAATTTCTGCATGTGCCGGAATTGATTTTGTTTTAGATATAATTAACTCTCTGCATCCTGTTAGCTGTCTGGTCATTCTATCTATGATATCTTTGTTTAACAGAAATGTGTATGTGTGCACACATGCATGTGCGTGTGTGTGTGTGTGTGTGTGTTACTGGGGATTGAACCCAAGGTTTCACACTGAGCTACATTCCCAGAATTTTTGATCTTTTGAGACAGGGTCTTGTTAAGTCTCTCAGGCTCCCATCTTAACACAGACGCACCACTTCTGGACTCCGTCAGCAGGAAGACCACTGCCAGATGTAACTCCTTGGCCTTGCACCAGAACCATGAACCAGAATAAACGTCTGTCCTTTATAACTTACCAAGTCTGTGATATTTTGCTGCTAGAAATAGAAAATGAACTAATTCCACCACTCAGGGGGCCTGAGGCAGGAATTCAGACTCAGCCTGGGCAACTTAGATACTTGGTGAAACTCTATGTCAAAATAAAAAGTAAAAAATGGCTAGGGATGTAGCTTGGTGTGAAGGCCTTGGGTTCAATTCCCATTACCATAAAGGCAGGGGGATAAACTAAGACTTTATGCCTTTTATACCTTTTTCATGTCTTACACTTTTTGACAGCATCCTAAATATGATACTAAAAGTGGTGTCTTAATCACTTTCCTCATCACTGGGACACAAGACCCAACACCTTCAATTTGAAGAAGGAGAGGTTCATTTTGACTCACATTTTTAGCCCATGGTCAGCCAGCGCTAAGGCAGGGAGGCAGGCAGGAAAGGTCTGGCGGAGGGAAGCTGCTCACCTCATGGCAGCCAGGAAGCAAAGGGTGAAGGTAGGAGCCAAGGAGGGAGACGGACCCTTCCAGATCATTCCAGATCACTCCCACACACCCCCTCTTCCTAAGACCCCACCTCCTAAGAGCAGGTCATCTATTCCACCTCTGTGATCCGATAACCTTTCAAAAGCCCTGTCTATGAGGGCAAGAGGCTTTAGGGGGCCATCTAGACATAAACCACCACAAGAAGTAGTGACAATAATAGAATTCTTATGTTGATTCCGATCCCCTGAAAAGGTAGTTCTCTCAACTTCTTTGTCTTTACTTCCTTAGAATTACACCAACCTCTGAGTAGGGGTACAGTGGGGTCACCACTAACTTCTTGATATGAAAAACAGTGACCCTTTTCTGACTTGCACCTTCACTCAAATGAGAGTCTTTTCTTTTTTCTTAAATCTTTTTTCCTCAGGGCATCAGTGTCTCTGTGGACCTCATAGATCCTTCTTACCTTTCTGGTACTTTTTCACATCTCCTTCTTATATCTCTCTACCTCTTAATGCATTTTCTCCCCAGGGTTCAGATTCTGACTCAAACCACTTTTCATTATCCAGGTTGGAGGTGGAGAGGGACAAGATCTAGCCTGCCTCTCAAAGGGCAAGTTTCCTTATAATTAGCTTGCCTACAGAGCATCACATGAAGTGGAGACTTGTGGGGTCCAGGGAAATCAGAGCAATAAACAAAGACAAGAAAAGGATGAGAAATAAACTAAGATCTACCCAACCAACAAGAAAGTGCAAATGTTAACTCAAACTCAACAGCTATATATGAGTCACCTTTCTTGATACTGGAACCAAATACCTGACACCAAAAACGTACAGAAGGAAATGGTTTAATTTAGGTCATGGTTTCTGGGGATTCAGTACCTGGTAGATCCAAGGTGGAAACATCATGGCAGAAGGGCTTAAAGGGGCAAATTTGCTTAGTTCATGCCGGCCTGGAAGCAGAGCACCAGAGAAGAGGTAAGAGACCAGGCATAGACCCAGGCCTCACGGCCCACCCAGCCACACCCAGAAGTGTGTTCCTATCCTCTGGGGTAGATCCCAAAGCTAAAAGAGTTGATTTTCTACCCTAACCACCACAGGAAGCAGTATAAAACCAGGAATTGATGAATCCAGGAGGGACCGTACTGTCATCGGGGCCCAGTGCCTTTTTTAAAAGTTAATTTATCATCACCTTCCTAGTCTCTTCTTCATTGCTGTCTGTTTACTCCTTCTAGTTTTTGAACTTAGGTTATGTTTTGTTGAGAAACTCTCTATTTCATATACATACATATCACAATTATTCTCCAATTTTCTTACAATTATTCCAGTTGCTACACTAATTCGCTATATTTCCTCCAAACCAAGGTTTTTGTTTTTTTTTTTCCTTAGACAGGGTCTTTTATCTTGTCCAGGCTATCCTTGAACTCATTACATAGCCCAGGCTGGGCTCAAATGCACAGCAATCTTCCTATGTCAGCTGAGTGCTGGGATTGCAGGCATGTACGTGCTCAGCTTCCTCCCAGCCAAGTACTGGCAACGATGTTGAACAACTTAAACTCTCATACATTGTTTGGCAGAAAATAAAATGGTACAATTCCTTTGGGTTTTTTTGTTTTGGGGTTTTGTTGTGTTTTTTTTTTGTGCTAAAGATCAAACCCAGGGATTCCCACATGTTAGTGCTGGCAGTGCCTTAAACACTGAAACACTTATCTACTCAGAGGATCTAGCTATACACTTCTAGGCATTTACCTTAAAAATAAATACATTAATCCAAACAAAGACTTGTACATAAATGCTCATGATTGGTTTTTTAAGGCACTAGGGATCAAACCCAGAAGCACCTTATTACTGAGCTACATCTCCCACTCTTTTAATTTGGAGGCAGAGTCTCACTAAGTTGTTCAGGCTAGCCTGGAACTTGCAATCCTCCTGCATCAGCCTTCTGAGGAACTGGATGACAGGCTGGGATTGCACCACTGTGCCCAGTTTATCTATATTCTTAAGAGCCAAAACATGGAAACAACCCAAACATCTCTTAATAAGTGAATGATTAACTAAGGGTAAGTTTGTAACACCCAGCTGAACTGAATCAGCGTGGCTCTGGTTGTGGGAGCCCCACCTGAGAATTGTTGCTAACAGCACAAAAGGAGAAGTGGCCTGGAAACCAGGCCAGGGATACCAGAAACGCCCCACCTCCAGGCTCACCCAGCCCAGCGAGGGCCCAGCACTATGTATGGGTTCCTGCTGGGAGTGATGGGAGCCAAGGAAATGGGAAGAGGGTGGAGCCAGGGTGGAACAGGAAGCTAAAGGCATATCTCTGCCCAGGCTGGATGCCTGCAAGCGCCGTGGACATGGTCAGAGCGGGAGGGGAAGATGGTGTGCTGTTGATTCTCCTGGAGAAGCCTGAAATGCTAATATGAACTCAACGGTTCTCATCATCAGAAGAGCTCGGGTCTTCGCTGTCACTGAGGATGGCTGCGGTTCTCTTTGGGGGTGCTCCGGTCCTTACTTTGAGCATCGATTCCTGGCTCCCTCAGCCTGCTGGCACGGATCCTTCATCCCAACGGTGCAGAATTTCTGGCTTCCACCACTGGCCTTTGGGCCTTTCCAGTGCAGATCCTTGATACAGACTTGCATGAGACGTGGTCGTGGGCTCTAGGCCTCCAGCTGGACTCATGGGGGACATTGCCGTGGGCTCTAGGTCTTCAGCTGGACTCGTGCAGGCCATTTCCATTGAAATCCAGGCCCTCAGCTGGATTCTTTGGGTTTCTAGTGTGTGGACAGATCTCCTGCACTCTTCTGCATTTGACTCTTTGGGTGAATATTATATGATAATCCTGTAAATTATGTGCCCTGTATTAAATCTGTTCCCTTGTATACCCGGACCACACCAGCTGGATTCATTGCATCCTTCTCAGGATGCACAGCTCCAAGCCATAGGATATACGAATGGAGCTCCACAGGCCAGGGATCTAGCTCCGCAGCACAGCGCCTGCCTGGCAAGCGCAAGGTCATGAGTTGAAATCCCAATACAAAAAAAAAAAAAAGGATGGAGCCTTAAGGAGAAGATTCCAGCAATTCAGTCAGAGCGGAAACCAGAGGAGGGATACTAGACACGCCCCACCTCCAGCTGCACCAGCCCAGCAAGGGCCCAGCACTGCGACTGGTCAAGGCATGGGTTCCTGTTGGGAGTGAGGGAGGCCAAAGAAATAGGAAGAGGGTGGAGCCAGGCTGGGACAGGGAGCTAAAGGCAGATCTCCGCCCAGGCTGGATGCCTGCAGCACCATGGACACGATCAGATACAGCCAGTGGGGCGGCAGCTCCAAGGGAGTCCCCACAGGTATGAGCAATGGGACTGCCTCCTGGAGCCCTTGGGTCCCTCTGTCCAAGTGTCTGGGGTCTGAAACAGAAGGGGAGAGGAAGAGACAGGGCACCCAAGAAATGGGTGCAGGGGAAACATGGTGGCAATGGACCCCGTTAGCCTAGGGGGCACAGCTTACCCGCCACTTGAAGGCTGTGTGGCGGTGGGCTAGTTACTGAAGCTCGCTAGACCTCAGCCCTTGACTCAGGCCGTGGCCCTCTGCGTTCTCCTAGGGCCCTGGGGGAGCAGGGTTTTCTTCCTGGCCCTGGCCGTGCTGCTGGTCACTGTGCTGTGGGCTCTCATTCTGAGCGTCCTCTTGTCCAAGGGTGAGTGACCCCTTCGTGGGCAGAGGTGCGAACGTGTCCCGTGGGCTTGCGAGCGCAGCCCGTGTGAACCGGCTCCTGGGCGAGGGGAGGGTTCCCGAGTCGCCTCCCTCCCCTGGCCGGCCTGTATGACCTTCTCTCTGCAGCCTCCACAGAGCGCGGGGTGCTGTTTGGTCACCAGGACCTGCTGAGGGAAAACGGTGCGTGCAGAAGGGAGCGGGGCGCGGGGGTGTGAGGGGCGAGAGTGCCCGAGACTCAGAGTCCCTGGCCGGTCCCGGACCGGGGGAGGTGTCTCCTGAGCCCCTGGCTGACCAGCGTGTGCGCTCCGCGCGGGCACTGTCTTTGCAGCTTCCAGGCAGACGGCGGCGCTGGGTGCCTTGAAGGGAGAGGTCGGAGCCTGCCAGAGCTGCTGTGAGACCCCGGCCGGGCGAGGCCTGTGGGCAGCGGGGTGGGGCTCGCGGCCAGAGAGAGGACTGGGAGAGGTCCGCGGCGCACGGAGCCCCCATCTCCCCGACCCCTTCCTTTCCTTTTATTTTGTTAGTCCATGTCCGCAGTACATAATGACCGCACGCCTCGTGGGGAGCTGGTGCCTGGACACCACACATCTTAATGCTTTTCTCATCTCCTTCCCTCCTTCCCCGTCCCCATCCCCGGGTCCCCTTCCCAGTGTACGAAAGATCTGTCTCCCTGCTTCCCATCCTCCAACCTTGATTTTGCTGTTTAAATTATCCTTTGGGTTGCTGCCGTAAGACAGGATAAATCTGAGTCATGTGTAGGGAAACGGATGCACCCCGGGACCGCGATGGTAAGCGGCGTAAATCACCCACCCTTTCTCAGGCAACGCGACGCAGGCGGAGCTGCGGGCGGCTGTGGCGGAGCTGAGCGAGGCGCGGGTGAAACTGATGCAGCAGAAAAGTGCCCTGGAAGAGCTGAGCCAGCGCGGTGAGCCCCGACGTGGCCCGGCTGCACCCCGCGAGCGCTTCCCGGTCCTGATCGCTGGGCTCTGACCTCGCCCTACCTGTTATAACTGTCCTGACCTTGATGTCCTGCTTGACCCCCGACGTCAAAGGAGAGCTAACCAAGGGCTTAGATTTTTACCCCTACAGAGTTGCGACTCGGCCTCTGACCCTAATTCTAACTAAAGTGTCCACTGCCCTGACCGCAGTGACCCAGGACTTGGCTACAGCGGGCAGGGACCGCGAGAACATCCGCAACGAGCTGTTCCGAGCGCTGGAGGACGTCAAGCTCAAGAACAGTGAGCGAGACGGGGAGGAGAGTGACACACGGCCCGGCCTGGGGGTGGCCTCCGGGGTCCCCCACCCCTCAGGCCCCGCCCTTAGACCTTGGCCTGTTTCCGCCGCCACCGCCGGCCCGGGGGTCCAACCCTCCCCTTCTCCGCTCTCCCTGCGCTCCCCCTGGGAAAGTTCACCTCTCCGATCCTCGCCTCCGCAGGATCCTGCGAGCAGTGTCCCACATCGTGGCTGCCCTTCCGGGGCTCCTGCTACTATTTCTCGGAGCCCCGAGCCACCTGGGAAGAGGCGCAGCGCAACTGCGCGGGCAACGCTGCGCACCTGGTGATCATCGGTGACCTGGACGAGCAGGTGAGCACCGCTGGGGCAAAGTAGAGGGCGGCGGGGCTCACCCGCGCAGGCGCGGCCCGGGCCGTGCGGCGGTCCCGACTCTGCTCGCGCGCTCAGCTCTCTGCCCGGTCCAGGGTTTCCTGACTCGCCACACACGCGGCCGCGGCTACTGGTTGGGCCTGAGAACTGTGCGCAGTAACGGCCAGGTCCACGGCTACAAGTGGGTGGACGGAGTCCGGATGGGCTTCAGGTGAGGAAAGGGCTCCTGGTGAGATCCGGGGAGCGGGAATAAGTTAAACCCCAGAGGGAGCACTTTGGGCCACATTTCAGGCAAGTCCTGGGCTCCGGCTAGATTCTTAGGAATGGGAAAGCTAAACTTCAGGGCAACCTTAGACAGGTGCAGAGTGACCCATGCACACCCAGGTTATAGCAGCACGATTCACAGTGGCTCACTCTTGGAAGCAGCCTGTTCGACCCTCAACATTGAATGGATAAAGAAAATTTGGCGTTCTCTGTCGTAAAGGATAAGCTAGGAGCATTTGCAGGAAAATGAATGCACCTCGAGACCATCATGTTAAATGCAATAAATCAGACGAATACACTTAAATACCATACGGTTTCTTTTGTATGAGAAACCCAAAATATAAATAAAGAACAAAATAAAAGATAGATAATTGGATGTAGGGAGATCAGTCTCAAAGGGGAAGAAGATTGAGAGATACAGGGAAAAGGAGGGAGGGAGAGAAAGCGGATGGAAAAATGGAATTCAGGTGTGTCATGTACGGGCACCAACTCCTCCCAAGGAATGTAGACATGATGTACTGCACACGTGGACTGACAGGAAGGAAGTTAGACATTCCCCAGGTGCATGCACACTTTAGACAGCAGGGTATCTAGGGCAGATCCAAACAATCAACAGGCTAGGTCCTGGGGAGCAAGGCTGGACCCCAGGTCCACCTCAGCCAGGACGCCCAGCAACACCTCATTCCACCGTCACAGCCACTGGAACACGGGGGAGCCCAATGACGCTCAGGGACAAGAGGACTGCGTCATGATGCTTCACTCCGGGCTGTGGAACGATGCGCCGTGTAGCAGCGAGCGAGACGGTTGGATCTGCGAGAAGCGGCGCAGCTGCTGAGCTGACCCCACCCACCGTCGTCCTGCCACGCCCACCGCCACGCCACGCCCAGCACAAGCGCGGCCAGGAAGCTGCGCATGCTCCGAGAGTGCACGCCAAGACTTCTCCATCCACCACTGCTGGGAACCCCTCCGCGCAACCCAGCCTTGTCTAGTGCCTGTGCCCAGAGACCTCTGCTCCGACCTTACTGATAGCCCCTACATAAACTAACATCCACCAGCTCCAAAACCCCTGCTCCTACATCTGAGTCATCCCACCCCACCTCTCTTCCTAGACACATTCAGGAAACTGAGGAATGGGGCTGTTTGATTCCTGAATTTCTGAAGCATTAATAAACGTTTGGGAAATTAATCTAAGCTTCTGGCTTTGAAAAGATGTTCTAGCTTTACACTAGAGGCTCTGCTCTACTACCTGGAAGTGATTCCTGACCTCTGTAAATAACCACGTGCCTTGAGACACCTGTCACCCTATACAGAAAGGACAGGCCACCCAGACAAGGCCCTGGGGCTTCCCCGACTGGGTGAGGAGTTCCCTTCAGCCCACTGCACCTACTTCCTCTGACCGCTAGGTGGGACGATCAGGAATACATCTCAGAGGATGGATGTGGCTGAGCTCCACAGGGGTTCACGACGCACAGAGCCTGGCTCTCACGACTGGGGACTTTTGATCTGAATTCACCCCGCACTCCCAAGATTCCTGCTTGCATCCTGGGGACCTGGGGGATCTCTGAGAATTTCCAGTGGAGACAGGTCCAAGTGAGGAGAGTGACGGGCCAGCAGATTTTAGTTCCAGAATGAAAGGCTGCACAGAGCCCCCAGGCTACCTGGCTAGGACAGCACAAAACAGGAAGACGCGAGACCACCATGTGAGACATAAAATATGTCCATCGTCCCTTAAAACCACACACCTGGGCCCCCTCCAGTCAATCCCAACCCCTTCCCTGCCTCGGACCACCGCTAGGATGGCATCTAATCACTTTCTATTGGACTTGCCTTTTGCAAAGTTCCGTGTACATGGAATTATACAGGATGTAGAGCTTTGTCTCTGGGTACTTTCAGCATTCACCTATGTGATGTGAATCAGTAATCTACTCCTTTTTATTACTAAGTCATGTTCCCTTGTGTGGCTATACCACAATTCACTTATCCATTGACCTGTTCTCCGAGTCACTTTCCTGCCCCAAGACAGTACTCAACCCCCACAACCTGAAGGACAGCTTTGTTTTGGGCTCACATTGCACTTTGCGGTCCAAGGTAGGAAAGAGGACAGCAGAGGGGTGTAGTGGGAGGAAGCTGTTCACCCCGTGGCAACCAGGAAGCCGAAGGAGAAGGGAGGAGCCGGGGACAACAATCCAAGTTCCGGGTCACACCCCCTGTGACCACCTCTAACCAATCCCCACCTCCTAACAAACCAGCTATTGTACCTCCGTGATCCAGTCATCTTCCAAATATATGAGATACCTGAGGGACACTTTAGATCTAAACCATAAGACCTGGTGATGACGTCTAGGTTGTTTTCAATGTGAGCTATTATGAATTGAGCTTCTGTGCAAATCTTTGTGTGATGTCTTAGTCTGTTTTAGGTTGCTATGACAAAACACCCACAACTCAGTAATTTATAAAGAACAGAAGTTTAGCTTGCTCATGGTTCTGGAGTCTGGGAAATCTGAAAGCATGGTGAAGGCCTATGGCGAAGACTTCTTGCTTCAGGAATTAGTTCATTTTTTATTGCTGAAACAACATGCTTGAGGCTGAGTCCTTTATTAGGAGGTTTATTTAGCCCACTGTTTGGAAGGCTCCAAGTCCAAACAGCATGTCACTGGCTCTTGTAAGGCCCCCTGACTGCATTGTATCATGGGGGGTGGCATCAGGGTGGAAGAGTACACAAGAGGAAGGGATCACATGGGGAGAAAAGAAGCCAGAAAAAGTGGGGCAACGCCGGTCTTGCTGTTTTATAACAACCCCCTTCGGAGAACTAGGATCTAGCCAGAGTCTCGTGAGAATCACCTTGATCTCTTTCAATGGCAGCACCCCCAGTAACCTCCCAACACTCCCTCAGAGTTCCACTTCTCACCATCTCCATACCTGGGACCAAGTTTCTAACACATAAATCTCCGCAGGACACGCTCAACCCATAGCCAAACCATAATACTCTCATAACCTGCAGGAGGCCATGATGTGGCGAGAGAGAGCAAGCGTGCTAGCTGGGGCCTCCCTTCCTCTGGTTAAAAAGCCACTCATGCCATCATAGAAGGTTTCTCATGCCTTATCTAACACTCATCACCGCCTGCCAAAGTCCCCGCCTTCAAACGTCACCTACATATGAATTCGGAGATTAAGTTTCCATTATATGAACTTTCAGGCAACGCCACCCAACCATAGTTCATGGACTTCAAAAGTTTTCACTTCATTTTGGTAGATGTGTAGGAGTGATTCATATAATACATGAACATTTAGGTTTACAAGAAGCTTCCAAACACTTTCTCAAAGTGGTTTCGCCCTCATTTACTCTTACCACCAATGCACAGAGGTTCCCTTTGGTCAGTGTCTTAGTTACTTTCTCATTGCTGAGACTAAATACCCAACACCCACAAGTTAAAGGAGAAGAGGTTTATTTTGGCTAGGAGTTTGTAGAGGGTTCAGTCCATAGCGGGCTGGCTTCAAGGCAGGGCGTCATGGCAGAGGAGAAAGGGATTGTGGCACGGTGACAAAAGGAAGAGAGAGAAGGATCAAGTGAGAAGGAAGGATATGGACCCTTCCAGGCTACGCCCCCAGTGACCACCGCCTCCCACAAGGCTCACCTCCCACACTGCATTTAGCTATAAACTCATCGGTGGACCAATCCACACTGACAAGAATCACTTTCCAGGATCAAATCACCACCCTAAAGCCCCACCTACGAGCTCACGAAGGTTTGGAGGACATCTGGATATAAACTAAAAAGAAAGGGTGTGTTTTACTCTGGAGAGACTTTAGCCACACTAGAGCTCAGGTGGAGTGCTTTCTTTTAAAGCAGAGAAAAGGAGAAAGAAGTGAAGACAGAAGTCAACCGAAGGACTCCCTGTTGCGAATAACGGAGGGAGACAGGAAGCAGTGGTAACATGTGCTTGGCTACACATGTCTTCCTGGGGTGAGGAGATTGGGGCCTGGGAAGCAAGGTCCTGAGGGTCTCTGATGTCTGAAATTACAGCCTTAAAGAAGGGAACAGGAGTCCCTGAACAGGGATAAGGACAAGCATTGGTGGCAGTCCCCTTGAGGGGCTTCTGGACCTGACCGTTGAGAGATGAGGGAGGACAAGTGCTCCTGTTGATCAGGAAGCCTGACCCACCAGAAGTGAGGATGGACAGAAAATCTCCCCTGAGCAAGGGCGGTTTTATTTGAAAAAAAGATCTTAAATGCCATGACAATTAGGTCCCAACATTCTTTAGCCTTGGTAAAACATGAAGCATGAGACCCAAGTCACGCAGGTCATTTGGACCTAGCAAGGAAGTTTCTGTAGATTCCCTAATGCCATGAAGATAAGAATAGCCCTGCTGGGACCGTTTCCTGTTTATGACAGTTCTTACCTGAAAGGTTTATCACAAGTGACTAAAGACCCATCAACATCTGGTGCAGTTCCTGCTCATCAGTGAGTATAACAATGGGTTTGCTATACCTTCTTTCTTGTTCTTGGTTTGTTTTGGTTTGGCTTGGCTTGGCTTGGCTGAAGTTCTGGGTGTGGGACCCAGTGCCCCATGTATGCTAGGCAAGTGATGTACCACGGAGTGACACCTGCAGCCCTGCTTTTCTTACAATCTATAAAAACCCAATCCCCTTGGGCACCATATTAGAAGCAGTAATTGTGCTAGTCTGCTTCCCACTGTTGTTAACAAATACCTGAGGAAACCAACCTCATGTAGGGAAGGTTTGTCCTGGCTTACAGTGTCAGAAGTTCAGTCCATGGTCTCTTGGTCTTTGCTTGGGGCCTGAGACGAACCCAAACACCATAGCAGAGAGCATTAGTGGAGCAAAGCTGTTCATCTCCTGGCAGATAGGAAGCCGAAAAAGGGAGAGAGAGGAGGAGGGCTCAGGGACAAAACATACCCTTCAAAAGCACGCACCTGCTGACCCACCTCTTCTAACTAGACTCCAGCCTCTAAAGTTTATGCCAACTCCTGGTGGTGCCACAACACCTAAGCTTTGAGGGATATTTCAGGTCCAAACTGTAGCACTTATTCCTGGCAACTGTAATTCATGCTGACTCCTCAGGTGGCCATCCTCATGTTGGTTCAAATTAACCTGCAACTTATTTTGTGTATTTATTTCTTTATTTATTGGTGCTGGGAATCGAACTCAGGACCTTGCACTTGCCAGGACAGTGCTGTACCACTGAGCTATATCCCTAGCCCCCTACAGCTTATTCTGAAATGCCAAAAAATATTAAGATAGATTGAGGGGTGGGGAGAGGAATGGATGGATGAGTAGCTCTGTGATATGATGGTTATAGAAGACACTAACTGTAGAATCTAGGCATGGCGATCAGAAGGCTATCATCAAGAACACAAAAAGCAACAAATTCTGGCGAGGATGCAGGCAAAAAGGAACAGTTCTGCGCTGCTGACGGGAACTCAATTAGCACTGCCACCGTGGAAGCCACTCTGGAGGCTCCCGAAAAACCGAAAAACAGAGACACCGCTTGATCCAGCTGTGCCACTGCTTGGTATATACCTGAAAGATTTAAAATCAGCATTCTCTTTTTTTATTTTAAAAAATAAAAGAAGGAAAACATATTAACAGACAGACATCCATTTACAAAATAGCATAAGAACAATACACACAAAACAGAGTTACAGGCAAAGTTGTAGGAAATTAACCATGGTTGTTCTATTACTTATTGATATCTTCAAAGTGGTTTCTCAGGAAAACAAAAAAAAAAAAAACAAATAGAGAAAATCAGCGTTCTCTAGGGGGACTGGCTTACGCATGTTTATTGTGGCACAATTCACAATAGCCAAAATATAGAGCCAAGCGATATGCCCATGATCAGATGAACAGTTAAAGAAAACAGGCTATTTATGTGTGATAGAGTGTTATTTCATCATATAGAACAAAATTATGTCATTTGCGGGCAAGTGGATAGAATTAAAGGTCATCATGTTAAGCAAAATAAAACAGGAAGGTAAGCATCACACATTTTCCTTCATGTGTGGAATCAGAGACTGTTATTAGGCAAGAGAAAGAGAATGGGAGGATGGATATTATTAAAATATATGCATGCGTAGAAACACCACATTAAAATCTAATCATCTGTAAATTTAATTAATTTATTTATTTTTTTGTCTTTTTGAGACAGGGTGTCGCTATGTAGTTCAAGCTGG